CGTGCGTGTACCCAAGTCTTGTGTACGCGTTTTGGATTTTCTCAGCTGGCCCTTTTTACAACATGTTTTCCGCGAACTGGGCTTTCGACCCCGATTCGAATCAAACCCTCGCAGTTCTAGTGTTTCTGATTTTTTTATGGAAAACCTGGTTGTTTTCAATGTTATCAATTTATTTGTAGTCTCGAACATCAGAGGACCCCTATCTCTGTCAATCATCGCACTCGCGTCAATCGCGACCAGAATCAAGCTCCGCGAAGCAGGCCGAAAACGTCTGCAGATGACGTCCGCCACGAAAAAGGAGAGCTCCAAGTTTGACATCAAGGCGGTCAAAATGCTGTTGGTCGTATCTCTGGTCTATCTTGGGCTGGCCGTTCCGGCGATGGTACCGGCCTTGATGTACTACACCGATGAATCGTTCGTGCTGTTCCAGGGACGCACGACCTTTGTCTACATCGTGTCCGAGTATCTTGTGGACTTTCTGTACGTCATCAACTCTTCCGTTAATTTTTTGATATACGTGACAATGTCCAAAAAATTCTCTAGGACGTACTCCAGGCTCATAAGGGGAACATGCCAGCGCTAGGGAAAACTGATCTGCTGCGTTCTCCCTAGACCAATGGTACTCAAGCTCTGGTCCATGGTTCCGAAAAGTTCGACTACCCCTTGCTTAAATTCCATTGAACCCCGCGAAGCCGTGTGAAATATATATTTAAAAAAGCCTTGCTTTTAATGATTACATGAATAAAGATAACATTAAAAAAAGATCACGTATTAAATTTGCATAACTGTGAGTGAGCCTGGGCGTCAAAATGATATACGCTGTCTATGTGGCAAAAGTTGCAGGGACTTCGACTACTGCTTTTATCAATACATCGGCCTATCAATTTGAATAAATAAATATACCGTCGGTGCATACACAAATTTGACTCCTTCAAGTCGGTTCCAAATAACATGATTATCATAAATGACTGCTAATGATATACAGCAAATAATCTACCGAAGATATGAAGGGTTTATACTTATGAATTATACCATTCCCAGCACTGATGAAGGAAAAGCGTAGTTAACATTTAACTTTTAAGAAATATCGAGAAAAAAAATGTCTGTCACGTCCATTAATTATGTTTGATGTCTGAAATAATAAGAAGGCGTTTAACATACTTTTTAAATGCATTATTTTAATATATGTTTACGCTAAATCAGATATTCTCAAAGCCTCAAGTTGTTACAATTGTGTTAAACTCTCTTTATATCAACATAAATGTCCATAATTTTAAAGTGGTTCTTGCCAAGTATTACAAATTGGTAATCTGTAATCAAAAATTAAAATATGTTTGAAGTCATCACCGCATTCAAACTTTATAATTAAAAAAGTGTCCATATCACAATCACAACTTTGACCCGCTTAATATTTAAGGCCTTCTGCAGCCGCACGGGTTGCAGGGCCCATAATGCCCATGTGATGCGCTGAGGTCAAGTGAAACCTACATTTTTAGCTAGCATCTCTCTGTTGCGCTCCGATGAAGTGTAGCCTGATGCATGTAGCATGATGAAGTGAAGCATGATGAAGTGTAGCATGATGCATGTAGCATGATGAAGTGTAGCATGATGAAGTGTAGCATGATGCATGTAGCATGATGAAGTGTAACATGATGAAGTGTAGCATGATGAAGTGTAGCATGATGCATGTAGCATGATGAAGTGTAGCATGATGCATGTAGCATGATGCATGTAGCATGATGCATGTAGCATGATGCATGTAGCATGATGAAGTGTAGCATGATGCAAACATAAATTCAGGTATGTGCTTAATGTATTCTTACTTTTTCAAGTCATCAACAATTTTCATGCGATGGGATTAATGAGCCCCAACCCCAGACCCTGCCCTCCCTTTAACTTGCGAGTCTTCAGCACGCTCATTTTCTGCTTATCCATTTGCCGATGAATTGGAAAGAATTGGGTTGTAAATATGATTGTGCCACAAGTTTACCCTGGGTGTAATTTCAGTTTATGTATGGCACAGAACGTCTAAATCCTTATTAGCGTGCTGATAGATGTCCTTCCCCTCCGTCCAGGACGCTTGAAAAATCCTTCCCTCGCTCAAATTGTCTAATAGCATAATAGCAGCACTGAATTCAGGTTTGAGTCAAAATGCACCTCTGAATATTTAAATAATCAATTATTTTTTTAGCGAAGGACCCCTAAGAAACCCCATTTCTTTCACTCGATCCACCGCACTCGATTTCTGCCCCCCCCCCTTTTTTTTTCACTTCCCGATAAATATTACAGCTAATTTTGCCTTTGTCACCAATTTTGGTGCCAAACTAGTGCAGTGCCAACATTAGCAAGCAAAGAGTTTGGCTGTACTCCTTACCATGATACAATATCTGCAGTTGTCCCCACTCTACATAACGAAAAAAAAAAGTGACAAAAAAAAAATGAACACCTGGGGGGGGGGGGGGAACCAACCCCCCCCCCCCGACCCACCTCCCACGTCATTGACACTGCTCTCACACCCGAACTTCTGGAATAAATTTTGTTATAGAAACACCCCCGGAGCATCGACTGTGTTAAAGACTCCATAAATGACGGCAACATACATCTTCAACAGGCCCTCACACCTTGCGGCAGATCACGAAATATTATTTCATTGTGACACCCCCCGGGGTAGAAGCAGACTGAAGAATTATTCAACTCCTCATACTCCTAAGACTTACTTGGCTGTGACCGTGCGAGTGGTCCAATTAACTGCGCCGTGCTCTTCACATTGGCAAGAACTCCACGTTTGGATTTACATGCAGTCTGATGAGGAAATATTTTGTATTGAAAGTATAGTAATCTATCCATCCATCCATCCATCCATCCATCCATCCATCCATCCATCCATCTATCCATCCATCCAGCTATCTATCATCTGAGAAAATCTTAACCTATCTCTATTTTGAAAATTTAATTTTCACTTGTGTAAAATGATTGGGTTATGATATTCATGGGTAGACTTATGTATAAGTACTTACGTAACTACGTTTGGTTAACGTCATTGATTTTCTTAATTGTTGAATTGGGAAGATAGCATCTATTTTTCACAACTTTAATATCATTGGATTTAAAGATAGTGTCATCAACGTAAAAATGTTCACACACTATTTCCTAAGAAGGTTAATTATTTATCAATTTATTCTGAGGCGTATCTTGTGCTGCCTTGCGCAAATGAACGTATCGTATTACTCTCATCCCTCTCCCTACCCCAGAGTTTTACAAAAAATTAACAAAATTATCCACAAGATTGTAACCCCCTTATTTACGCAAAACAAATGTTTTGGATTTCATATGCTTTGATCTTATTTTGATGAGGGATAGTTCATTAGTGAATGCTATTTGGCTATGTCGTTTTGCTGCACTGATATATAAATATAAAAACATTGTATAGTGGAAAATTGATTTGGATTTTATGAAATGCACCTGTGTCCTTTCCATTCCGGCTGTTTGGGTTCAAGAAATATTGCTACATTACCTATACTTTTTGAACATATAAAAATTAATATATTCTTCTTTTTTTTTTTTAATTGTTTCGTAACTGCGTCAATTTAAAAAAATAAACTAAACTAGATGAAAAAACAGTTTGTTTTCAGATCTCAACTTTGTAAAATGTCGCTGTTCCTAAAAATAGTGGCAATGGCTCGACAGTGCTGATCCAAGGTTCACCACTGCATGATTAGCTTGAGAGAAAGTCGACGGTGCTGACATTAACTGTGCTCAATGAAAAGTTGCTTTCAGTAAGTAAGAGATAATGGTATGTTATATAGCAATTCTTTTTTTAATTTTTTTTTTAAAAGAAATTGAATAAGTTGTTTTTTTTAATCCCGAATTTTAAAACTTGTTCACCTAAATCGTTATTTTAATTAATTATTATTATTCCAAAATAAAATTAAATTTCTTTCAAGTCTTGAAAGCCAAGATCGTTGATATTAAAGTTTTTAAACATTTAAAAAAGTACGTTAAAACAAATATGTCTCCTAAAGTTCTTTCAGACTTTTACGGATATTTCATTTTAGGTGACATGTGTGCGTGCTTTCCGGCAAATATACGTAATGTTCGGCAACCCCTGCACGTGAAGCTCTCCAAGATGGGCGCACAGTGCACTCACGCCATTCTCAGATCGTTCTCGAACTCTCCACAGATTCAGATACGTTATTTTAGTGGTTTTTTTTTATTCCCTTTATTTTTTTTTCTTCGCTGCAGAAGGCTTTTTTTGGCCGACACTTACCTTTTGATTCGTTTTGACTTTTTTGTTCATGTTCTGCCCCAACTTGTGACACTTACTTCCCTTTCAAAATGCACGGTAAGATGACTGACGACTAATTTTATCTGTGCATATAATAGATAATGACTTTAGCCCCACCACCCGCCAACGCAACCCTGTGTTGTTTTTTTTAATCCTATATGTTAGTTTCGCTTTTGTTCGTGGCTGGCTAAAAGAAAAAAATTTGACGGCTAATCGACCCACTTCTCGTCAACCTATCGAGCTAGAACTTGGCGCACAGACGTTTGGTGCGTTATGTTTTCTTTTCTTTTTCTGTAATAGTTGGTGAGATAAATCTGAGGTGTAAAAGCGGGTAGGTTATGAGAATATTAAAATAGTTAAGGGGCGTGAAAAATATGTGAGTTGGGAATCTTGGGGGGGGGGTGGGGGGGGGAGAGAGAAAGAGAGAGAGAAAGAACACTAATCGGGATTCTTATAAAGTGAGTTACTTGTATTCATTTTTTGCCAAAGTTTTCTCAGAGAGAGAGAGAGAGAGAGAGAGAGAATGCTAAAAAGTGTCATACATTGTCTGAACGCATATATATATATTTTTTTTTTTTACTTTTTTGTCTTGTTTTTGTGCGTGTTTGTGTGTGTTTGTGTTGTGTTGCGTTGCCTTAATTCATAAAAAAAGGTTTCCTCACCATCAGAACTAAAATAAATGAATGACACTCAAACTTTAATGTTAGCCTAAGTACGTGTTCACAGTTTAAGGAATTTTTACAAATTACACACACCCACGCTGACGCGCACTCACTAACACACAAGAGAGAGCGAGAGGAAGGGAGAGAGAAAGAAAGAATGGGAGAGAGAGAAACAGAGAGAGAGGTCGTGGAGATAAAGAGGGGAAAAACAGAGAGAGCAAGATAACAGCTTCATATCCACTTAAATACTTTAGTGGTTCTTTTTTTTTCTTCTTTTTTTTCAGTTTTATTTAAATATTTTGTTCAAGAAAAAAAAATTCGGTCATGTTACAGGAGATCAACCATTTATCCACCAATCTTTGACATTGTTTTTCTTTTAATCCACAGATACACATTTTTTTTTTTTAAATAGTTCAGTTTCGGATTCCATTCCTTGAGCTTTTGAGTTTTGGCCATTTTTTCCCCCCTTTTAACTCACCTCTCCTAAACAACTCTCCCCATTTTTTGGTCAAGATAGTGTCATATCTTTGATTCATCATGGGGAACATCAGAAGGCCCAAAGAAAGTTGGGAATGGCTGGATACGCCTTCCCCTCCTTTTTAGCTTTGTTTTTGCCTGCAGACTTTGCCTTTGGAGCTACGGGAAACGATGGATACTCTTTGTCTGATTCAAATTCGGGCGATTTTTTAGCGTTTTCTTCCCTTATTGGCATGTAGTTGTGGAACTTTGGACTTTCCACCAGCGACACCAACCTCCTGCGGGCCTTATCATCGTGAGCGCCTTTTCCGATAACTTTCTTCCCGTGTTCTCTCTTTTCGTACTTTTTCTTTCCGTATTCTCTCTCGTCGCTTAGTTTCTTTTCGATGTATTTCTTTTTGTTTTCTTTATGTTTGTTTCCTTTCTTTTCGTTTTCTTTCTTTTCGTTTTCTTTCTTTCCGTTTTCCTTCTCGTTTTTCTTTTCGATATCTTTCTTTTTGTTTTCTTTCTTTTCATTGTACTTCTTTTCCTTTTCTTTCTTTTCATTTTCTTTCTTTTCGAGCTCTTTCTTTGCCCATTCTATTCCTTCCAAATACTTTTTCTCCTCGTCTTTTAGCTGAACAGCCCCATCGGTATCCTCGGCGCCCTTTCTGTCCTCTCGAAGTTTCGCCATGGACTCTCCCGAATAGTGCTCCGTCTTGTGCTTCCACTGCTTAGCATACAATGAATCAGAGTTTTGCGATCCAGCAATGTCTGGAACTTCCATCTTTGTTTTTTCAGGGTTTTTTTTCGTCTCCCAAACGTCTTCAGCGACTGGATCTTTTTGCTTCCGCTTCCCCGTGAGCTCTTCCGCCTTAACCCGTTCCAAGTCTTTTACCCAAATGGCTTGATCTGGTCTAACGACGGCCTCTTTGTTTTGACTTTTCTCATCTCCTTTGCCCTCTGCTCTAGAGCTCGGCAGTTGTTTAGCTCTCCACATTTGATCTTCTAGGTCAACTTGACCATCGTTGGTATATTTCCCGTCCTTAGGCTCATAGCTTTCCTTCAGCTTCTGCTCTGGCGATGTGACCCCAGGCTTTGGGGACGGAAAAAACGCGTAAGGCCCATTCTTGAACCGATGATCTTTTGAGTCGACATCCCAAATGTGTGGCGCCTCGCCGCCGGCATTCGGTGGCCCGAAGACGCGGCCGCTTCCCCGCCCGTCATCTCTTTGTTGTTGGCCTGAGTTCGTGGGAGCGGAAATTCCCGTGTGCTGATCGCCTGTCCAGCCCGTAAACGTCGCCAGTGTACAATATCGTTTGTTGGCATGCATGAGGTAGCCTTGACGGCATGAGCACTTGTAGCTGTTGTCGGGCAGGTTCTCACAGATGTGGTCACATGTAGTGGGCGAGCACGGCCCTAGTGTGAGGAATTGGAGATAAAAATATAAATTATACAGAAACAATATGTGTATGGAGTAAAAATAGTGCGATAGTATTAGTCCAAAACAATAACGTGCCTAAGACAGGGCGAAAAAAAAGGGGTGGGGCGCGATCGCCGCGGGCGGCAGTTTTGGGGTTTATATATAACGTTATGAACATAACATTTGTGTATTAAATGGGGCGCACTTCTGGGAAATTTTAAATATTAATATCTAAATTCAGAAATTCTAATATAGAAAGAGTGTTTTTCAATGACCATGAAAGTTTATACCTCAGCAACCTATCCAAAGGGAAGTTAATGTCGAGCTAAAAGTATACATCATTAATGGTAAATAATTAATATCAGGCTAAAAGTGTCATTTCATTAATGGAAACAGCCAATGTGGCGCTAAAAGTGCTGCCTCGTTAATGGTAACAGTTAATGTCCGTGTAATAGCGTTACCTCATTAATGGTAACCGTTAATTTCGCCCCGTCCGTGCATGCGATGAGGTCTTAATGAGAGTCAGAAGAACGATTCCATTTATTTGTGTATATGTAACTACAGAGGTGGCGTAGGAAGGGGGTGTGCATAGGCGGGGGGTAGGGGGGGTCAGCGCCATATGGCACTTTTTTTTGCCATTATGTCGCGGAAAGGGGGTTACCAAAAGTTTGAACTGACCCAGGCGTCACTAATCTTAGCTAAGCCATTGGACTACTTCCGTCCTAAATGGGACATAAATCTTCATTAGATTAGCACTCACCTTCGAAACTGTTCTTTTTGGTGTATTTCACGTGAGGGGTGCCGTCAGCCATCCTCTTTAGCCTGGGGTGTGTATCAGGGTCAGGCTCGGGCGAGCACCTTGTCAACAGAGACCCATCGCCACAACGGCAGATATTGGGCTTTACGCAGGTCCCGCCGGGCGAACAATTATCCGCACACACGGCTGGGGAAATTTGACAAGAGGCGGGATGAAACAAACATTAAATTAGCCCCCCCCCCCTCCATAATAAAATAAATAAATAAATGTGAGCGTGTGTGTGCGTGCGTGTGTGTGCGTGCGTGTGTGAGAGAGCGTGCGTGTGTGTGTGAGAGAGCGCGTGTGTATGTGTGCGTGCGTCTGTGTGTGTGTGAGATAGTGTGCGTGTGTGAGAGAGTGTGCGCGTGCGTGCGTGTGTGTGCGTGTGTGTGTGTGTGCGTGCGCGTGTGTATGTCTGGGAGAGAGAGAGAGCGTGCGTGTGTGTGTGCGTGCGTAAGTGCGTGTGGGTGCGTACGCGTGTGTATGTTTGTGTGTGTGAGAGAGCGTGTGTGTGTGTGCGTGCGTGTGCGTGGTGCGCGTGTGTATGTTTGTGTGTGTGAGAGAGCGTGTGTGTGTGTGCGTGCGTGTGCGTGGTGGGCGTGTGTAGGTTTGTGTGGGTGAGAGAGCGTGTGTGTGCGTGCGTGCGTGTGCGTGNTATGTGTGTGAGAAAGAGAGCGTGCGTGTGTGTGCGTGCGTGTGTGAGTGCGCGTGTGTATGTGTGTGTGAGAGAGCGTGCGTGTGTGTGTGCGTGCGTGTGTGTGTGAGCGTGCGCGTGTGTATGTGTGTGTGAGAGAGAGCGTGCGAATGTGTGCGTGCGTGTGTGTGCGTGCGCGCGTGTGTGCGTGCGCGTGTGTGTGGGAGCATGCGTGTGTGTGTATGTGTGCGTGCGGGCGTGCGCGTGTGTGTATGTGTGGGTGCGTGTGTGTGTGTGCGTGCGCGCAAGTATGTGTTTGTTACTGTCAAAGCCAGATATCGGCCAGTTCGCTAAATGATTGGCAGAAGTGCCCTAAACAAGTTCGAAGGTCACCTCCTAAGAAAATTGTTGACCATTTCAAAAGCTAGACGTGCATTATCGAGTTTACCTGGATTCAATATTTATGTCAATCCAAAAAAAAAGGGGGGGGGGGGCGAACGCTTCTTATATAGTAATTTATGATACGTGCATTACTTTTATGCGCCCGTTAAATTTTTTTTTTCTTATGATATAGTAAGTGATGATACGTGCATTACTTGTATGCGCCCGTTAAATTCTTTTTTTTTTTTCTTTTAAACATCAGGTTTTTAAAAGTTTTCATTTATTCTAGCAGCTAGCTCAGCTTAGATGGAGTCGAGTGCTTTAAAATTATGCCAATTATAACTTCTTTTTTTTTAAGCTCGAGGCCGGAATTAAATGTATATTTAACTCTTATCCATACTTTAAAGGTCACCCTTTTATGGTGAAATATCAGTTTAAAAAGGATTGCACACGTTAGATACTTAGCCAGAACTTTATTCATATTATAGACCTTAGTATTGATATAAAGGTAGTTCAATACCATGTTAGTAAAGTTTAGACTTGTAAAGTTGCAAAAAGTAATTAAATAAAAAAACCGATGTGTGCGAAAACAGTAAGTAAGACTTCAGCTCATAGTCGGGCGCGGCGAGTTTTCAACACAGTACGATATTTATAATCGAATAGTGTTAGCCTCTAACAATATTAGTTTTAAAGATGCTGATCATCAAATATATATTGAGCACTGTGACATTCCATAGGTTCCAGTAATTGTATTCGGTTAATGGCACCAGTTAATATTCTTTTTAAAATTGTTTTTAAAAAAAAATTTGCGGTTTAATCACACACACACACACACACACATATATATATATATACATACATATATATATATATACATATATATATATGTATAATATATTCCAGTATTCCAGGGGTAGGGGCTGCATTCCCCACCCCCGCCGATAGTTGCCAGAAAGAAAAACTTCACACTGCATGAAAAAAAAAGTGGCTGAGAGGGGGAGAATGAGCAAGGGATACCTCGGAAAACTTGGAAGGATACATTTTCAAAGGATTTGATATTATTTGACCACCAGACTGGCAACTTTGTAGTGAAAAAACTTTTTTTTTTCTTCCCAAGGCACTTGTTACAGCTGGAAGCACCAATGGCTAGTTTACACATTGATACTTTATAGGGTAGTGTGGTGCAGTGACGGGTCTCTTGAATAACATGAAAGCTTATTATTTTTTTTTTAATAGTTTAACTTTTCCAGCGGATATCGTGAAATGATATGGGTGCCTTATTATTTTATACTGGTATTTCGACCTGCTGCTATTTAATTTGTGTGTGTGCGTGTTCGTGTGCGCGCGCGCGTGTGTGTAAGTGTGTGTGTATGTGCGTGCGTGCCTACTCACGTATGATACATCTTCTAGACTCGGAAGCTCTCCATCCCCGGCAGCACCTGTCTCGTCTTGAGCCACAGACGTGTGCACCCCTGGTTCACAAGTCAACAAGTAATAAGTCAGTGAAGTGAAGAGTTCAATGTACTATGTTTGCTTTTTGTTTTCTCCGAGAACCTTCTCAATGCTGTAAGCAGTATTCAATCTTAGCCGTAGCACAGCCCCCCCCCCTTTTTTTTTTTTAAACGTACAATGTAGTATCACTCGTACTTTCTTCACTCTCACCCATCATCCCTGATTACTCCCCATACAGAGCCATCGTCATCGCGGGACTTTTTGAGGACCCAGAGCTGTCGCCTTCCTTTTTGGGCCCCCTGTTTTTGTCCCCCCCCCCCCCTTTTTTTTTGCATTCAGATTTTAAAACTTTAATATTTTTTCCACACCATAACTGTTTAAATAATGTGAGCCCCCCCCCCTCCAATGACGGTTCTGTGGGGAAAACTTCTGGCAATTTTCAGCTTGTGTTCCACTGCATTCGTAATCGATAGATTTATGCTTGTTGTTTTTTTAACATCGTCTTTGGGCCCCTTAAATATACGAGGCCCCCTTAAACATCCGAGGCCCCCCTTAACCTTAAACATCTGAGGACCCCTTTAAACATCTGAGGCCCCCCTCAAACATCTGAGGCCCCCCTTAAACATCCGAGGACCCCCTCAAACATCTGAGGCCCCATTTAAACATTCGAGGACCCCTTTAAACATATATATATATATATATGCTCACTTTCCACCGTGCCGCATATTTTCCCCAGATACATCTAGCTCATCAGATCACATCAACATATTTACCGCATTCACGACCTCAGCAACACTATACCAACCGGACTACTCACACCAGTCGTTGTGACCTTTCCGACGAGACAGCAACAATAGAAATCACCAAAACCAAGGCCACCGTTGCCCGTGTGGACAACTGACCGCTGCTGGCCATCGCTTCCTTTTGCTGTCTTACTATTTCTCAATTTCTCCACTTGACGATTGTTGTACTATTCTCTATGTTCCAAATACTTGACCTTTGTTCTGCTATTCTTTATGTTTCTGCTTGTGGTGATGAATGCTAAGAGATGAAAAAAGCAATAATATAAATAAATAAACTCAGTTATTGTTTTAAGTTTTGCCAAATGCAGTGCGAATGGAAAAAAAAAAAAGGGGGGGGGGAGAAGAGAAGAAGCCAAAACCGATGCTGACATCAAGGGGGCGCCAAAATCGTCAATATACACATATATGTACATTATATATGTTCCACGTGATATGAATGTCTCGAGACTCGTGGCACGGGATCAGCACACCATGAGACTAACATGTACCCAGAGTTGTCTCATCACCCCCCTCAAACCTTCTGTGCACCAGAAAATTTCGTGCTAGAATCGGCCTGATCCGGTCATCTGCGCAACCACACACTTATTCACCCGTAGTAAAAAGCCGATTTTTGAAATGATCATTATTGACTTTCGGCGGACGAAGTATCATTAATGAAACGTGTGTAGAAAGGAGGGGAACATATTCAGGTTTTGTTCTATAGACCCATATTTTCTTTCGAACGGCTCTGTTTTCTGCGAAATTTATAACTATTTAAGCGATGATATAATTGCTAAATGTATTCTAGCAAATAGCAAAATACATAATAAATATATAAAGACATACAAACCTGTTACCGTGTTAATGTTCACGAAAATATTGGGGGGGGGGGGTATAAATGCTAGTCCTTCAAATATTGAAGGAGCACAATCATTATTAAAGCATTTGTTGGTTGTGACACAACTTTTTTACATTTTTATGAGACCCTATTTAAAAAAAAACCGGGTTAAAGGTCACGAAAAAATTGGGGGGGGGGGGTATAAATGCTAGTCCCTCAAATATTGAAGGAGCACAATCATTATTTAAGCATTTGTTGGTTGTGACACAACTTTTTTACATTTTTATGAGACCCTATTTAAAAAAAAAAATAAATAATAATTTGTTTTAAATTGTATTTATTAATTTTAAATTTAAACAGATACCGCAATGTTTAGGAAATAAATTTACGCAGTTAAATACTAGACCCGCTTCAAATATAAATATTCGTAATATATAAAGGTGAGCCCCACTGGCGTAACTGGGGTTAGTGCTTGCCCGGACGGGTCAAGATTATTGTCGCCCCCACACAGGAAAAAACAAAACAAATATCAAATACTCTGCAGTTTGCTGAAAATGCTGTTCCTCAATATTATATATAGAAAAATATGTCACCAGGAGCGGATCAACCCCCCTCTACACCTCCCTTCTTGTGCAAGTGATGATACCAGACTTTGCCTGTTAATATGAGACCACACTTGGCTTGTAAATATGAGACTACACTTGGATTGTAAAAATGAGAATACACTTAGCTTGTAAATATGAGACCACACTTGGCTTGTAAATATGAGACCACACTTGGCTTGTAAATATGAGACCACACTTGGCTTGTAAATATGAGACTACACTTGGCTTGTAAATATGAGACTACACTTGGCTTGTAAATATGAGACCACATTTTATTTATTCTTTTCGTTTACGAACTTTATATATTTTTAAAAATATGAGACTACATTTAAGAATTTTTGTGAGGCCACTACTGATATAGAAATACTATATTACATGTTATACACACCTACAAATAAATATGTATATGTGAGACCATACCTAACTTATATATAAAAAAAAAAACTTGACAAAGACTTTAAGTAACAGGCTACGTGTCTAAGAGACCACAGAGGACATTACAGACCTACCATCAAAAAAAAACCCCGTCTTCTCGCCACCTCTAACGCTCACACTATTTCAAGACAGCAACTTTCTGGTTCGACTGTACACTCCGTTTTATCACCATGCAGTCGTCCACGGAGATAAGAAAGACAACGCCCCCACCAACCCACCCCCAAAACACAACGGCTAACACTGAGAGAGGCGTACGCCGGGGCGTCACTGGACATGGCCCTACTGATAGGTGACGGTCTCCATTACGGTTCGTAACAAGCGCGAGGTGACTCAGGCGGATGTGCTCGTTTGAAACTCTTATGCGCAGCGGGGGTGAGGGTTGGGGGGGGGGGTGATGTAGGTCATCTGTGGCACCGAGCTGTGGATCGTCACATGCATGAGTAAACATTTCATTTTAATAATAGTTTTTTGGGCTTTTTTTAAACATTAAATTGATTGTTTTAACGAGCAAAGAGAAATATTATTGGAGAGGGCCACGAAAAAAAAAAGAGGGTGGGGGTGCAGAGATTGTTAGTTTCCCTCTGTGACTCAAAAAAAAAAAAAAGAAAAGAAAGACAGACACACCGTTGATAGTGTCTTTGGAGTCTTTGATGTCTTCCTCGGAGGGGAAAAAAATCTCCAGCGGTATTTCAGACACATTTTCTTTACATATAATTCACACTCCTGTTATGTTATAGATCTCAATGGAAATATTTAATCAATTTAAAACAAGTGCAATTTTGTGTTGTTTATTTTAAAATTGTATTTTGATTGTGAATAGAACTCTGATGAAAGGGTGTTTTTCGTTATAGAAGACAATATGGAGGAGGTTATTGTGTGAGAATAGGTGGGGGGGGGGAGAAAGGGGATCTCATTTTCTCATATGAAACATGCTCTTCCCAATGTGTATCACAGTTACGCATTAAGCTAGTACAACTGGTTCGTTTAGATCAGGGGTCTCAAACTCAAATCATCAGGGGAGCTGCAGGAGGTAGAGTCTGATTTAGACTGGGCCGCATCAAGTATTCCCACAAAAAAGTGATTACAAATTCAATAAAGTAAAACTGTTACAATCCACTCAACCTTTATTAAAAAAAAAAAAATAAAAAAATAAAGGCCATCAAGAGCTAGACTTCACTTGCTTCCTCCTACCCCCTAGTTGCCAGAGACCTTGCAGCGCTTCTCCTTACACACCTGAACAACATTAATTGTCTTGAGTGAGGAAGCAACTGTAACCCTCAGTTTAGCTTGAATATGCTCATCAGTGAGTTTGGCCCTGAACTTTCACTTTGACCCAGAAAAGAGCTTTTCACACCGATAGGTGGCCTACCCACTGACTGACTTTTTAAACTTTTGACAAAACCACACTTTGGCCATGTTTGTATCATAAAATGCTATACCATAAAAACCTTTAGTCCGATTTTAAAACAGTTTTTACCATCATAATCAACGTCCAAATCTGTACAAACAAAATAAAAATCAGAACTAGTCTAGTCTAGTCTGTGAGATTCGACTGAAACGTCCCGGAGGTTCACATTATAGTTATGGATATGAGAATGGGGAAATCGCGCGGGCCACATTAACATGTATGATAGAGTGGGCCACGATTGAATAAAATGATACAGTGGGAAATGATTGAATAAAATGATACAGGCGGCCATGATTGAATACAATGTTAAAGTTTGCCATGAGCACACACAAAAAATTAGAAAACGAAACAAACAATTATATGGGAGAAACGCTGTTCTAGCCAATGTCACAAAAACCTTCCAATAAAAACTCCTGCAAGATTGTGGAGTAAGGGTTCATCAGCTGGACCGTCATCTTCTTCCCGGAGCAAACAATGTCGTAAAAGTTTAGCCTATAGTCAAAACACTCACATACAATTTGTGACTTGTGATGAAACAGCAGAATTAAATAAATTATTGACCTCTTTTTTTTTCCTATTAGTAATCTTGTATTAGTCTATTTTAATAGTTAGAGTTCAATTAATTTTTTAAGAGTATATTATAATATGATTATTTTAATTGATGTGCCCCAACCGCAGCATTGCGCACCACAAAAATTGTTCCTTTTGTAAGAGAGGGTGCTCGGACGCGCCTTACAAAACGACATTTTCAACTTCATCAAATCCTGTAGAAAGATTTCTAAGCCAAGAGATAATGTTTGAGAATGGGGCATTTCAGAAACTTCTTGGGATCACCTAGTATCAATTAAGTAAAGATTGTTCGTTTTTCTTTTTGCAGCAACTTGATGTGTTGTTGTTGTTTTTTTTGTTTTTTTAAATTTGAAATAGGCTTTAGTTAAGTAAGCCTTTTTATATAATGCTTTCCAACTTTAGAAATCAGGAAATTGCATTGTGATTACTTTTTATTTACAAACGTTAATTTGATAGGTATAACTTCAGTTTTACGCGTAATCTAAATTTTAAAAAAAAATCATCCCTCCAAAAACAAAAACAAAAATCACACACAAAAAACACAATAAAATTAACAAACAAAAATCCCTTGACTGAAAACGTTATTAAAAAAAAAAAACTGAAAAAGAAAACAAAACAGGCACTAATGTTAAAAGTTAAAACATTAAGGCTTTAGAAAAACCTGGCACTATCGTGGTTGGTTTCTATTGACCAACAGTAATCGAGAAAAGTAACGAAAAGTGAAAGTAGACGAAACCCTCAATTTTTTGTTGAAAAGATTAGATACAACTTTATTATTTATCTAAGTAAGAGTAAGACTAATAAGAGTAAACTCAAAATTTACTGAACGTCTGAGAATCTAACTTTACTGGTGTCTTTTGTATATTTTTTTTTATAAAGTTAGTCTGACGTGTCCGAAGTCGTGGCAGAGGGCTGAGAGGCATATAAAATAATATAAATAAAATAATTAAAATAGGCTAGACGGCGAGAACAGTGTTTCCCAATTATTAATAATTAAATTTTCAACCAAACTAGACAAACTTTATTATAACTTTCATTTTTGCGGGCAATAGATAATTTTCAAATTTCTACGTTTTTGCCATGGGCTGGTGTCAGATTTATTTATTATTTTTAACTATTTATTTGACCAAACTCAAAAGACACTTCATAATCATTAAACCTTTTTTAATTTAATCGATCCAAAATCAGCAATTAATCTACCACTTCAGTGTCAGTTATTAACCTTCTGGAGACGTAAGGGCTGATCTATCGGCCCGAGGTACACTAGCGAGAAAGACGTCAAGTCCGAGCAGTCGGCCTGATAGATCGAGCCTCACGATTGGCTGGCTTGGCGTTGTACCAGCGAATCAAAATTATTCATACGTATTCCTGCACATCCCGGCATTGTAATGGCGGCGTTCGTTGAAGGTGAACTCAATTTATTTGTTTGCAGGAATTTTTGTGTGTGTGTGTAGTTGCATCGTGAATTTCGAACATGTCCGACAGTGACTCTGATCAAACTGCTTAGTGATTTTTATATTCTTGCAGTGAATCTGACACTGAAAATGATGAAAACAACCAAATAAAGACTTTCAAATTGAGGGTTATGCTAATGTTGTGAACTTTTGGTTTAGTGTTACTAGTATTAGGGGTCCTCAAATGGACAGAGATTACCCCTCTGAATTTTTAGACAACATAATTCCTATAAATAAGGCATAAGCACCCCATTTGAGTACTTTATGCTATTTTTAACACTAAATATCACTCAAGTGTTAATGAGAGACCAATTGATATGCAGACAACTTTCTCAGTAACATCCAGCTTAAGAGAAGGTCCCTAGGTCATAAATGGGGGCCTGTTACAGTGTGTCTGTAACAACTGAAAAATAGGGGGTGGGGGTGGGAAAGGAGTAGAACCATGTGCCAGAGGTGTCTGAAGGGCCTTCATGGGCCTTTTCCCCCCAAAAAATAAGTATTACGACTTATTCAGGCTTCATCCATCAAAAAATTCACACAATTGATACAAGTAAGTCATGTTTATTCTAGGTGTAACAAAAAATTTCACGCATAAATTAGCTCATTTGTGTAAATTTTGATATGTCAGTTTGATTCATAAAGATTGTATTAGTTCATTCAATTTCCTACAAGAATATATATAGTTTTACATATATTAAGGGAATATTTTATTTTTTATAAATTTTTTTGCAATGCGAGTCTCGAGCTCGTAAAAAGTGCTCCGTCTTTTTGGCACATACACCCCGAAAAGGCACTGTCTCCAGAGGGTTAAAATTGTGTTGTTCCTGTTTAAAGTGTTAAACCATTTTTATTTTATTGAAGTTGTTAATAGCACAGTGGAGAGAGGACCACTGGCCACTGCGTTTTCAATGGCATAGAAGAAAGGGATAGTGGGCACTGTTTTTTCTTTGAAGTGGCAGAGCCATGTGCAGTCATGTTACAGGAGTTCTTTAGATTTAGAGAGATATATTATATGATATATCTTTCCAGGCTCACTTATTGTGTCGGACTTGTAATAGTACTGACAATAGTTTGATTATAAAACAACAAATTCATATACATTTGTAAGTTACCCCCACAGGGTGGGAGTGATGCAAAATAAAATTCATTATCTCACTCATTTCAAATACATATACAATAATGAGTATTCTATAATAAAATAAGGACATCTTTGATTTTACTGTTATAACTCATTTCGATTAACAATCAAGCTATTAGAGTAATTTAATTAGTTACTTAGAACTAAGTATCAAATTATTAGGCCTATAACAGAATTAGAATATATTATGAGATATATATATATATACTAAAGCAGTGTACCCAACCTTTTCTATGTTCTGCGCCTCCTATGAACTGGTTGACTATGTCTCACACCCCCTAAAAAGGCAATAAAAACACTTTATTTTAAAATTGGAAACAAAATGACCTTCTAATTTGTTTATTGAAATACAAGGATAACTGTAAAAGTAACAAAAGAAACTTTTGGATTATTTATTACATAAATTAAAATGTAAATGAAAGAAATTATTAAAAATCTATAAACATTTAGACCTTTATCATTACTTGTAGACCAATGACCCATCAGTTCTTCAATCAAATTTCCTAGTAGCACACCCTGAAATGCTACTTGGAACCTCCAGGGGTCTGTGAACATCCCAGGTTTTGGGAAACCCTGCTAACCAACATATTCATTTGGTCTAATTATAAAAATACCTATACAAATGTTAGTTTTAACTGTCCCTATTCACCTTTAATGTTTATCCACATATTCACCTTTCATAATTTAGTGTGAAGCTTAAAAAGTGAACAAATAAAATACACTGATGATGTCTGTTTAATGTTTTTTCATATAACCAAATCCTATCATTGTCTCTTTTTTGTTTTTAAACTTTCAACACAGGAAAGGAAACTAAATATTATTCATCCATGTACACTACTTTCATAAGCTGTGAAAATATGAGACGAAAAACAATATTACGACTAGGAATTGTAATTTTCATAACTACGCTCATCTGGGTTGTATGGTTTGCCACACATCTAGATGATGATGGTCATCAATTTCCATTAGACTATCAAGATGAAGTTTTCTTAAATGGGAAAAATATGGGTCCATTATCACCTGATCTCATTCTGCAGAACCAGAGGAGAAAAAAGTTTCAAATGTCCTATGTGCTTCAAAATGCTGGGAATAAGACAGTTCCTCTGCCAAGAGACTTCAAGAGCTTAACGATACCAGTCATCAAGGAAAATAAAAGTTTTAACCAAACAGTTTCAGAGAATGATATGACTCTGGCTGAAGGTCTTACATTCCACAATCGGGTCTTTTACTTAAATCGTAAGCCCTTTCGAATTTTTAGTGGGGCTGTTCATTACTTCAGAATCATACCAGAGCAGTGGGAGGATCGTCTACTCAAGTTGAAGTCTTGCGGATTGAATACTGTGGAGACGTAAGAACCTCTATTTTTTTTTAATCTTAAAACAGATTTTTAATTCATTAGTGGCTTAAATTGAAAAGTTGAAGTGATTTTTTAAAAATCCATTTCTTTAGTATGATCTTTACAAGACTTTAACAAGTAAAAGAAATATAATTTAAATCAATATCTATGTCTTAGAAAGGTTTAAATATCAAGTATTGCAAAAAGACTGACAAATTGCAAGTCACATAGTTTTATCTGTGGCCAACACGTTTGAACAGGATGCAGATGGGCTGCAATAAGTTTCTTAGACTCTTGGACACTTTTATTTCATTGGTTATTAAATTCCAAATATCTTTCTTTTTTTTTTTTTAATTTTAAATTTTACACTCTGAAAAACTTGTTTTTGTTTTTTTTAATTCCTTATTATCTAGATTGTAATTCAGATGCTATCTTAATCAATTATGAGAGATTTATTCATTGCATTTATTGTTTTTAAAATATTCTCAAATGTTCGCTGACACCACGTTAAGATATGCACCTTGGAACCTCCATGAGCCATCGCCAGGTGTCTACAACTTTGATGGGATCCTTAATCTCAGGTAACTATGATTAGTTTGTATTAGAATTTACAGAAATACCTGTCCGTTATTGTTATGGCAGGTAAGGGCCAGGCGTAATCCTGTATTTATTAAGCATGAAGTATTTTTAAGCTGAATATTTAATTTTGTTTAAACACATCAGACAAAAATTTTTTCTTCAGAGGATACAGTACTTCAGTGTGAAAAAAAGAACAAAATAAATATTTCATTATTTTCTATTATTTGTAAGAGCTAAGTCGTCCTCTTATATTATAGGTTTAATTTTTTTTAATATATTTAATTGATTTGAAAGTTTTTAGCCATGTTAATTTTTTTGTTTAAATTCCATCTGCGTCATAGTTTTGTGCTTCAAATACTTTTTTAACTACCTTGATTGCAATCTCTGCATGATACTTTTTGTGGTAATTGAGATAATACTAGCTTGTTATTTATATATATATATATACAGTAGAAGCCTGTTATGTCGACAGCCTCAGGGTTTGCCGAAAAGCGCCGAGATAACCGATGCTCGAGATAACCAAAAACCAATTTGGTGAAAATATATTAACAAGTGCTTGAAATTTCTTTATGTACATCATGTGCGTTAATAAATGCAGCTACTTCAGAAAAAAATAAATAATTTTTTTAATATCACTGTTGTTAAGAGCAAATTTCAAATTAAAAAATGAAACTAAAATAAACTTTTTAACTTTAGTACTTTTTGAGCTACGAATTTTTAAAGTGCAAGTTCGTTTGGTATTTTTAACTATGGATAAATCCTCCACATTTTGTGACCTCATTCTGCTGATCGTATCTTGCGCAATTACTATATAGTTTATATAAGGCAACGCATCCCCTCATTACTAAAATATTATTTAAGGAATACTTATTTTGAACTTTCAACTTTGGCACATAACTATTTAATTAAAGCTTGCCCTGACCAATGGTTTAATAGCTTTTGCACACGGCAAACTCTTATGAATGAAACTCTGATGTTGTACCATGGCATAGCCATTATGCAAGTGACCGTGAATGGCTGCCCATGACAACATTTTGCACATGGCAAATTATGATCAATTATAATGTGCACTCTACTGGGTTTTTAAACCTCGAATTAAAACATATTATTTAAATTACTTCTAAGTTCATTCTAAAACACAAGTCCTGTATTTTGAGAAATAAATAATTATCTTTAATTATGAAAAACTTTTTTATTTGTTGTTTGCTATTTCTTCTTGCGGAGTTCCAAAGCCAGCGATTGGTTAATTGGTAAATTTGGCCGCCTTTTGTGCTCGGCATATCAGGGTTCAGCGACATAAAAGAATAGACATAACCAAGGAGAAAATGCTAAGACAAAGAGAGAATTTGGCAGTTCTACTTCAAAAACGTCGACATAACAGTGTTGGTGAGTTAACCGAGTCGAGATAAGCGGGTTCGACTGTGTGTGTGTATATATATATATATATTATTAAAGACAACAAGTTTATGTTTCTTACTTTCACTGAAGGAAATTCATCACAATGGCTGCTGATTTGGGCTTATTTGTCATTCTGCGACCCGGCCCATACATATGTTCAGAATTTGATTTTGGTGGCTTGCCAGGGTATGTATAAAATGTTTGGACTATTACTATTGGTAAAAAAAAAAATTTGATTTCACTGTCATTGGGGTTTTCAATAACTATTCTTATAGAAGGCAATCACATGTCAATAGCAGCCCAAAATATCTGTTATGAATTACTTGGATTTTTGTTTAGATTTAAATATATTAAAAAAAATTTTTTTTGTATTTATTTTTTTTCAGTATTTTCATTTTCCCTCCTAGTCAAGTCACGGATTTTAAATGTATCCATTCATATCATCACTGTTCACCGTTAACATCAAATCTAGGTTTAGATTGTCTGGATGTCAAATCTAGGTTCACATTGCCTGGATGACTTAAAATGCCTATAGATAACATCAGTTCTGATACCCTATAATGCATGATACTCATGTCCAGTAAATCTGACTTTTCAGGTGGCTGCTGAGTGACCCTGACATGAAAGTGAGAAGTAACTACCCAGGCTATGTGTCCGCAGTCAACAAGTACTGGAGTGTTCTACTTCCCCTTGTCTTCGACTTGCAGGTCATAATGCTGTTTAATCTACTTAAAATTGTGCCCATTCATATCGTATAATTTATTTTGATTTTTCTATTTCTTTTTGATATCAAACATATTTCAAGGTGAAAATAATGTCTTTCCCTAGGGCAGTGGTTGTCGAACTATTTACTCAAAAGAGCCAAAAATCAGCAGTGGGACAATTTAAACAAATTTGAGAGCTAAATTTCTTTATAAGAACCATGTTTTTCAGAGTCAAAACCGATTTGTTACTGACTGGCCGAGCCGCATGCACCTCACGAGCCGTGGTTTGCCGACCACTGCCCTAGGGTGAACAGATTCATGTGATTAAATTTTCTTGCCCATGCAGTTACTTGGATGCGTGCCTGCTTGTAAACCACAATATTTTAGTCAATGATAAATTGTCACCATTCTACAATTCTCTGAGCATTTCTCTCGTAAGTCCCTTCACACAAAACAATGCTAATTAGTTTTTTTGCGCAGAAGGCGTTCGTCCTCCCCAAGAACAGTTGTCTCGCTGACAGGTCATTTCCAATCTACAGCTGGGAGATGTCTCCATAAGAGTTTGCACCCATTGTCTCTTGGTGGAGAGGCAAGCAAAAATACCACCCAGTGATGATGGATCATGATTTGTTGCACTTTTGTTAAATTTTTTCATGCATAGCTCAGCCAAAGAAGAAACATAGTTTACTTTGGTTAATTGTCATTATCAGTGAGTAATCATCATTGTTCTTTTTTACAGTTCACAGAGGGGGGCCCCATCATCATGTTCCAGGTTGAGAATGAGTTGACAGGATACACGGGTGACACGGCACACCTCAAGCTACTTGTCTATGTAAGTCTCACCAGAGATCATACATACCTTAAGCTACGTGTCTGTGTAAGTCACACTAGAAATAAAACACCCACAGACCTATGTCATTATGATAGCTGCCTACCTAAGTCTAAGGTATCTTAAATTACTTATTAATCTCATTTTTTTTCATTCAGTATCTTAAAATCAATTACCCATATCATTTTGAAAGCAGATATTTAAAATTTCTCATCTAGTTCATTTGGACTACTAAAAATGTATAAAATTATTTATCCACTTCATTTTTTAAAGCAAACACAACACAACAAAACAAACAAAAATACTGATCCCCAAACAATAACTATCTGTGCACTGAGAGACCTCCGTATGTTTCAGCTGATGAAAAGCCTTAAGGTGAAGGAGCTTATTGTGACAAGTGATCACAAATTCAAAGAGAAATTTGAGGTCAACAGAAATATAGACTTCAGCCAGTGTAAGTTGTTGTTGTCACCATCACACTCACTGGGTTCATTTATGTGTACTGTTTACCTACAGTGTCTTTACCAATAGCAGTGCCGTGTGATTTGTACAAGTGGCAAATTTTTAATGTGGCTGTTTGGCGGATTTAGTGGCAGCGTCGTCGGCAAAGCACAGGACAGATGTTTGAATAGAGGCAAACAAAAAAAACAAAAAAAGAATAATAGCCCCCACCAGATCTCTCCTTCCTCCAAATACAGAACTTTAAAAAAATTAACTTGGAAAAAGTTCAAATGCACCTGGCCATCTTGGTGCAAAACACAGTCCCATTCAAATTCTCTGTTATACTAGATATGGTCTCATTCTAATTCTCTATTATACATGATATGTTCCCTCTCAAAATTCTCTCTTAAAATATAAATGTTCCCATTCAAAATTCTCTATTATAAGAGAAATTGTCCCATTCCAAATTCTCTTGATAATAGAAATTGTTCCATTTGCAAATTCTCTATTATAGTAATAAATACACCTAATACTGACAAGTACACTTATAATTCAGTTTTGTCTGTTAGTGCATCTGACAAGTACTCATGTCTCACCTTTACTTGTGTGCAGAAGAGCTGACATTAAAATGCTTTTTAGCTACGAAGTGGTTATTCCGACCCGCGTCCGAGAAGTGAGAGGCTGGGATTAAATTTTAAAAATTATTATTATTGTCAGGTTGAGTCTAAAGGGACCCTGGTCCGAATAGCGGCGCTGCATGTCCGGTCCATTTTGACTAAATGCTATTTGGTCCATTTTGACTAAATGCTATTTGGATGTCATTTTTTGTAGTTTATTTTAGTTAAACTTAATAAGTAAGTTTACAAAAATATAGTCCATTCAATTATCTTTCATTTGATACCTAATTTTGTATTACAAATCCAACAATAATTTTAAAATATTTTTTAATAAACCCAAACTCTCACTTCTCGGACGCGGGTCCGAATAGCCGCAGCCTTTTAGCTATGTGCAGCACAACCGACATTAACTCCGCAGCCACCACTACCGTGTAGTAATTCATTCACTTTGAATGCCCCCCCTCCCACCCCCCTCCACAGATGCCCTCTTGACCGACAACCTCGGCAGCTTCAATGAAAACAGCTACGATGTCATAACCACACTGAACCCCCATTTCCCTTACATGGTCATGGAGCTCTGGACAGGATGGTTTGACTACTGGGGTCAGAAGCAGCATTCCCAGACCTCACCAGCAGGTAGGCAGTTATGGTATAGGAGGATCGGGTTGTGCATTCATGAACCTTGGCATCATTGTTAAGCGTTCTCTCCTTGATGCTGGCGATACTGCTACCGCATGAGACAAATTATTAGTCGGGGCTGTCCCCATGGCAGAACATTGTTGACAGGTGGCACTCATGAGCTAATGATCGAGATTAACCAAACTCAAACAATTTGTGTAAATAAAATAATTTATGTTAAGCTTTAATTTTGATCAGACAAAATACAAATTCAAACGTTTCGGCTAATTCTTCCTTCCATCAGTGTGAAATGGAAAATTAACAAAATTATAAATCAAATCTCCATAATAAACGCATGTCCCACCTATACTCCAATGATCAGGCAGCAATTAGATGACATATAAATTGTGTTTCTAAATTTTAACAAACTGATGTATTGAAAACTCTATGCCTGGCGCTGCTATTCATGTTAGTTAAATCTGCTCCTATTGAATGCTGACTATTTTACTGCTTGTTCCAGGCTTACAAGTAACTTTAAACTCCATCCTGACGGTAGGTGGCTCATTCAACCTGTACATGTTCATCGGCGGCACCAACTTTGGCTTCACGAGTGGAGCCAACAACTTCTCATCCTACATGCCCATGGTGACAAGCTATGGTGAGTTTTAAACTAGGGCAACAGCAATCAGATACCAGCTGATGCTGATACTTGATACATCCAGCATTTCTTTTGGGTTCTATTTTGGGGATTGGTGTTGGGGGGGGGGGAAGTATGTTGGGGGGTGCTCTTGTATGTAACAGGTTATGTTTTTGGGGATTAGGGGTGTGTAGGGGATCTGAGGAAGGGGGGCATTTTCTAGTATGTAATGTTGGGTTCTGCATTGCTGCATTGGGGATTGGGGGGTGTACGTGTATGTAACATCCATCTTACTTTGTGTGCATGTAGAGATGGAGGAGTTTTGCTGATCCCAGGCCCATGAGCCGGCTGTCTTCCAACTCTTTTACACAAGGGTTCCCTCCCCCAGGAAATGAGGCTGCCTTGCTTGAAAGCGTTTAACATGCAGTGCTGTGTATCTACAGCTGAGTGTAACCCTCACAAAAATTTTAATCTGCTGCTTGCTACTTAACTCGCACCCTTATTATTTTGTTTTCCCCCCATAACTTGTTTTACGTATTTCCTTCTAGATAACCTGATTGCAGTCCCCCCCCCCCCTTATTATTATTATTACCTCCTGCTTATGAAGCAGACGAGCTATCATTGAGATTTAGGGCAACCATGGTGGGGGACATATTAATGCATCTGGGTGTCCTTGGATAATGAGAATTTTTTAACATTTTGTTTTTTATTTCAAAACTGCTGTGATTTACTGTGTATCAATGTAACCGCTATCCGAAAGACTTGTTTTATTTTTTTTTATTATTATTGTGTTGTTTTAACTTTTACACTTTTTTTTTTAAAGATTATGATGCCATTTTGACAGAATCAGGGGACATTACTCCAAAGTATGAAGTAGTGAGAGAAACAATGCTGAACTTCTACAAAACAATAGGTATTTTATTCTACTTCAGGCTGTGATTGAGTGATTAATAGATTGGCATGTTTTTTTTTGGTGGTCAAATCTGAAAGTCATCATTTGAGAAATATCTGTTCGAGATAACAGTAAGTGCTTGCAAAATTGCAAAATTAAATGCATTATGATAGAAACTTTACCTTTGTACTCATTAAGTCATTGCAATTACAACTGGGATTTTTTACATTTTTAAAATTTGGTTGGTGTAGTGAGGTGTCATCTTTTTGTCTAGAGCAAGTCATAATCTCATGATATACCTCACCAATTAATGTTTTGAATTTTTTAGAATTTATTTGAAAACTTATTTTTTCCCTTCCTCTGTAACGTTCAAAGTTTAAATTTTTACTTACCACAAGGCTAAAAGATTCATGTAACTTTTTTTGGACACATTTCCCCAGAGCTGCCTTTGACTTTAAAGAGCCCTAGAAATAAGAAAATAATAGTGACTAACAATAATTCTTCCCCCCCTTTTCTCCCCTTTTCCTTGTCTCAACAGGAGTGTCCGGACTGCCTTTTGTACCACGAGAATTGCGAAAGGGGCATTACGGTAAAGTTTTGCTTAGACAGTTTATTCCTGTAGTTAATGTTTGGAGAGTATACAAAGTCACTCCGCTGTGTTGTGAAGTAAGTCAGTGCAGGAAATTTTAACTATACAGCTTTTAGGCACCACAAACTTATGTGGTAACTACAGTGGTTCTCATATCCTTGACAGGCACCACAAATTTATGTCGTAACCACAGTGGTTCTCATACCCCTTGACAGGACACCACAAACATATGCTGTGACAATAGTGGTTGTCATACCCTTGACAGAACACCACAAATTTTATGTTGTACTAACAGTGGTTCTCATACCCTTGACAAGCACCACAAACGTATCTGGTAACAACAGTGGAATTATATGTTGTTCATTGATCAAAATGTTAATGTTGGATTTATTTTATTCAAATTTATTTCTCATAAGGTATGTTTTGTGCTGCAAAGTAGATTTAGAAAAGGACTTTACTATTTTATTAAGTTAATTTAACAAAATAAAGAACAGATTCAATTTTAGTAATTAATGTAATTTTTTTCTGCCATTGTGCTGCTCTTTAGACCTCTAAAAAATTACTTTTAAAAGTCTATTTATTTTTTTCCTGTTATAAATTCAAGTTTAAAGAATAATTATAAACACTTTTGTTTTTTTACCATACAATTTCAGGCAGCGTCTTAATCCAAAAGGTCATGGAGTGGGACATCTTCATCTCTCTTATTCCAGTAAGTAATTCCACAGCCTGTTGGCAGTCGAGGGATTGAGAGTAGGTCAACGAAACAGATGACAGGGGATCACATGGGGGGGGGGGGGGGGGGGCACTCCCGGCTTTTTTTTCACTGTTTCCAGTGAATAACTGTTACCCTTAAGGAGGGCGGGGGGGGGGTTGAAACCATGATGTAACACCTGGCGGGGGGGGGGGGGGGGGGGAGGGGCACTCCCAGCTTTTTCTTCACTGATTCCAGTGCATAACTTGTACCCTTAAGGAGGGCTGGGGTGGGGTTGAAACCATGATGTAACACCTGAGTGACTCATCCATTCTGTGGATAACTCTACCCTTTATCAAGATTTCATACAACTCTTGGCCAAACTTACAAGAATTCTATTTTTATTGGCATCCTAGTTGCACACTGTATGACTGCCACAATTCTTGTCCACCTGTACATTTGTTTGATTGGAAGGATGTGGTGAAGCAGGACAGGGCCCTAAACGGGCCATGGCGCCACCGATGATGATGATTTCATTTATTTTTTTATTACCCTCCTAGCAAGATCTGCACCTGTATACAAATTCTGCCAACCTTACTGTCTCCACTTCTCCCCTGATTCAGTGTTGAGGCAAAATTTGAATGGCCTCATATAACAGTTTCTCTTGATTTTTTTTTTTAAAGTTTAAGTTGAAAAATGATGTTGAAATTAGTTAGCTTTAAACCTTTAGCCCTTTCCAGCCCTCTCTTGCTTGACTGATTCAGATGCTAAAAATTTCTGGGGGCTGTGAATTCTGATAAGTACAATTAGATATGTTCATTCTTATAATGTGATGTCATGTTCATTATGATAATATGTCATTCTGCTAATGTGATGTTATGTTCATTGTGATAATGTGTTGTTATGTTTACTCTGATGATATTAGGTTATGTTCATTCTGATGATGTTATGTTATATTCATTCGGACCAAAAGATAACAACCTATTTCAGATAGCCGCAACAGACGACAAGCTGAATTACATGGAGACCTACCGTGACCATGACAACAGACACACCACCTTGGGCTACATTGTCTACTCCTATGACATTGGAGAGGACACCCATTGGAATAAGATGCCTGGTATACAGATGACGGGGGAATACAAGGACAGACTGACTGTAAGTTTATGGGGTACGCTGTCTGGTATACAGATGACAGGGGAATACAAGGACAGACTGAATGTAAGTTTATGGGGTACGCTGTCTGGTATACAGATGATGGGGGAATACAAGGACAGACTGACTGTAAGTTTATGGGGTACGCTGTCTGGTATACAGATAACGGGGGAATACAAGGACAGACTGACTGTAAGTTTATAGGGTACAAAGTCTGGCATAAGGGTGAGAGGGAAATACAAGGAAGGACAGACTGACAGTAAGGTACGCTGTCTGGCATACAGATGAATTAAGTTTATAGGGCACAACGTCCACTCAATTTGCACTGTGGTTTTGTTATAAAAAAAACACACCAATTGTGTATCAGGAATATGAGTTTGTATAACTTTCCCATGCTGACAATAAAATTACAAAAATGAATGTGACTGCAAAATAGATTTGTCTATAGGCCTTTATGCAAGCCGGCACTAGTGTAAGACATTCTTTTAATAGAAATGTAATTTTATACGACATTAAATAATAACATATTTAAAAATCATTTTTATTGCTCAAGGCAAAGTGACCGATGGTAGAATTCAGATGACCAAACTTGACTTTTACTAATAATAATAAACTCAACAATAATAAAAAGCAGTTTTCAACAACCAGTTAGGATCATCACATTGTTACCGAAAGACAATAATATTTGAATGGCACCAAGGCTTTTTAACAAAAAATGACATAAAGTAAAATGAATTAATTATTTCCAAGAAATATAACCAAAAAAATAAGTATAATTGTAAGAGTCACTACATTTAATTGTAAGCGACACTACATTTAATTGTAAGCGACACTGCAATTAAATAGTTAGCGAGGCTACATTTAGTTGTAGGCAAAACTACTTTTAATTGTAAGCGACACTACATTTAATTGTAAGCGAGGCTACATTTAGTTGTAGGCTACACTACATTTAATTGTAAGTGACGCTGCATTTAATTGAAAGCAACCCTGCATTTAATTGTAAAATAGGAAATGAGTAAAACAAAGTAAGGTCATACTTGAAATAAGGAACGCAACGAAACAACGAACATGTCGGCATTGTTGTACCCTGTGACCTTACTCTGTTTTACTTATTTCCTATTTTGCTAACCTGTTTTCAGGCTCTCCCCTTATTACTTATTTAATTGTAAGAAACGCTACATTTAGTTGTAAGCAACACCACATTTAATTGTAAGCAACACCACATTTAATTGTAAGCAACACCACGTGTTATTGGAAGCAACACTATATTTTATTGTATAAGTAACATTACATTTAATTGTAAGCAACCCTACATTTGATTGTAAGCAACACTACCTTTAATTTTTAAGCAGCACTTCAATTAATTGTAAGCAACACTATATTTGATTGTAAGTAGCGCCACATTTAATGATAACCAATTAGGGAATGTAAAAAGTTATATTCCTTGCAGTGATACACCAGGTAAGTCTGGCAATACTGAACCATAATCTCTAGGGAAATTTGTTCAGATATTAAAAGTGTGTTTCCTTTGTTTGAATTGAAATATTAATTTAAGGTTACTTCGAAAAAAAAAACCAGGCAATCCTAAACAGTGAGATTTTCTACGTGCAAGACGATCTCAAGTCTGACGAGGAGGATAAGTTTCTACCTTACAACTGGGACCAGAAATTCCAGGTTGGTTGGCCAGATACAGATTGTAGACATATGTGTTTGACCTAGATTCTCTATGTTTAATAATGTCTAATGAGTATTTATAACTATCGGTTTAAATTTTTAATACTTTTTTAGCCTTAACTTTGATGCCATTGTCCCATTTTAAAAAAAAAATTTAAAAAATAACTTTTAATGCCATTCTCCCATTTTTTTTATTTTTTTTTTTTTTTAATAAAAAATTTTTTGTCTTACATTTCGTCCCCTTAGAATAACAATGTTCTATATTAATACTTTTTTAGCCTTAACTTTGATGCCATTGTCCCATTTTAAAAAAAAAATTTAAAAAATAACTTTTAATGCCATTCTCCCATTTTTTTTATTTTTTTTTTTTTTTAATAAAAAATTTTTTGCCTTACATTTCGTCCCCTTAGAATAACAATGTTCTATCTGAATTTTTGGTCAAATTGAGATATTTGCGTTTTAAAATTTGATGTTTGGTATGGATGAACTAAAAACGTTTTCATCGAATTTGTTGTTGTTTTATGTTTATATTATCAATACAAGGTTTGATCATTAAAATAAAGGTTCTAGGTATTGATTTTGATTTTATATGAATTTATGAAATTTAGATAGAACCTTGTAATTCTAAAAATGCTATTTAACTTTAGAATAACAAGGCTCTATTTATTTAACACAGTATGATTTAAGCAGTTCCTTTCAAGGATAAATACATATTCATTATTTAGATCACAAATACAAGACAAAATCATTTAACAATTATATTTAAAATAAAGACTGAACAAATTTCCTTGTAAATATTTTCTTTGTATTAATTTATTATTACAAACATGAACATTCATTAGACAATATCATGGTTTACACACAAACTTGAAGTTTCTGCATTATTTCCATTCAAAACCAGCTACCATACTACAACAAGTTACATCATTATGTTGCTATAGTCTAACTCAGGCATGAACTTAAGCATGTCTCTAAAAATCTGTTTTCTTAGCTGCAGACAGTTTATTAGATGACTTTGCTATCTTTGGTTGAGGCAAAAATACTTGAGTTGATTTAATTGGGACACAACTTCTAGTGTTTTAAGGTTTTCTTATATTGATCTTCTCAAATGCTATGTCCTTGTGGCTTAATCTACAACCAACCAATGGCTCATTTGTAAATTTGATTACACATACTTTGGAATATTTTACACTCTGGTATTGAAATTTATCAGTAGATGTTTTAAAATCTTTGAAGTCATTTGGCATCATTGCTTCATATGTATGATTGTATAAGGTTTTCTCCTGTTTACAGTTTTAAGTACTCTTATTAGACTTAGTGGTGAAAACACTTCACATGACAATAGATAATAGTAGTCACTGCTATCAGTATCATATTCCCATGACGAGGAGCTTGAATAACTATTTTCTAGTGAGCCGTCCGCCATTTTGAATGTAAACAATCCATGACCATTGAAGTAACGGTACATAACAAGCCTTATGATTGGCTGAAGATATGGAACTCATTTTACAAGATGAATTTTTATTGATTCCCCCAAAATAGTATCTCGTTAAAACTAAAAATATACATTAGAACTTTGTTATTCTCCAGTTGAAGGCCGACCTCGAGTTAGAACCTTGTTATTTTTGTATCTCCTGCAAAATCGGCTCATTATAAAGTTTCCACCTTTTGTACCATGATAGAGGTGTTGATTAACTTTTGCACAGGGGCAATAACTCTTTTTTTCTTCAAAAAATCGACTTAGAACATTGTTATTCTAAGGTGACGATTTGTGTAATTATGTTAATTTTTTTTTAAATTTACCTATTTATGGTATAATTTAGGCTGGCTGCCCTTTTGGCTCCCATTTGTGTATATTTTCACTGGCCCACTCATTTAGACTCGCAGCCTTGGACTTCAGATGCAGATTTTGTTTTTCCACTTAGTATGAAGGGGTAGGGGGGCTCGTGGCTGAAGGGGAGGGTGATGGGCTGGGGGTAGAGGGCTGTGGGCGCAGGGGGAGGTGGATGGACTGGGGATAGGGGGCTCGTGGCTGCATGGGAGGTGGATGGACTGGGGATAGGGGGCTCGTGGCTGCATGGGAGGTGGATGGGCCGTCTATCTGGATGGATTTGATGCCTCAGCCTTTAAATCTAGGCCAAAGGCTTTCATACTGCAGTGCACCACCAGTTTGTGTGTGTGTGTGTGTGTTTAGAGGTTCTTGTGTGTGTTGCACCTTCATGTAAATAATGGTCTGTGTGCACCTCTATGTAAATAACCAACTTTTTGATTAACTACCAGTACATGTATGATTATGTTGACTAAACATTTCAGAGATACCCCTACCAGTACATGTATGATTATATTGACTAAACATTTCAGAGAGACCACTACCAGTACATGTATGATTATATTAATGATTATGATGATCTGTTAATGAAGCAGCATTGGCACCTGGCCTTTCTTCATAGAATGAAGGTTAATATTATGCGATCGCGTTCTGTTTCTTTTTACAGAACATAAAAATTTCAAGCTCTAGCTGTGTCAGAGGTGTAGCTACAATGTTTGATTGACTCCTTTCCCCTTCAACTCTAAAACCTGTTATTTCTATCCATAAAATATAAAATCCCATTTCAGCGCCCCTACTAGTCTGGTACCTGGTGACCCCCCCCCCTCCCCTTTAGCTACACTTCTGATCCAAGTTCTATCACAGCAGCTGGGTTGTAATAGCAAAGTTGATTTAAGTTCTATTTTTTAAAAATACCACTTTATATTTTTCTATTTCTTTGGTTCATGTTATGAATTTTTTGTTTTCTGTTTTTCAACATTGAGAGGGCAATGGGAAATTCTGAGGGGGAAGTGGAATATTGGCTGCTGGAAAATTTCATTTTAATTCTTGGCTAGCGATGTACAAGCTTGTACCATACTGTATGATTATTTTTTTAAATGGGACATTAAAAAAAAAGTGGGGGGGGGGGGGGGAGCCACCCTAAATTGCCGACTTTGATTTTAGTTTGGTGGTTTTTAAAATCTGGTACACAAATTAATATTGTGATGCAAATTAATATTTTGAAACAAATTAAAATTGTGATACAAAACATTTGGTGAAGTTGTGCTCCGTGAAGCTAGGTTGGGGGGACGTGAACACGCAATTACTGACAGGACATCAAAATCTCACCTGAAAGCAAAGAGCCCAAACAAAATGAATGAATAAAATTCAACAGCCGTTAAAATCAAATATGAAGTTTTTAAATTATTTTATTTTATGTTAATATTCTAATGACCCACTCGCTTTTACACTGCAGATTTATTTCACCAACTATTTCTGAAAACAAAACATGCAAACAAAACTGAAGTTAATATAAAGGATTTTAAAAGTCTAAGGATAGAAAAGGTGTACTTTGATAGGATCAAATACTATTTTCTTAATATGTTAGAATCAATAAGTTGTTAAAAATAGATAAGTTTCACTGTAATGGTATGGATTAAGCGTTTCTTAATAAGAGAGGATCTGTATGCTTAAAAAAAAAACCTCTATGAAAACCTTCACTGCATGACGATTAATGCTTTTCATTGTCAGAACGTGTCATCAAGAATGAAGAAGAGAGGCAACAAACTGACCAGGAGATTAGACCTGATGGTGGAAAACCTAGGGAGGGTTAATTTCTCACCTGAGATGTCTGATCATTTCAACGATCAAAGAAAAGGTAAGGCAAAGCTTGATATATTTCAGTGGTGCATAACTGGAACATCTGAGATGTCAGCTGTAAAGGAAGACATAGATAGGATGCATCTGACAGAAGGAAGACATTGATAGGACTTACCTGACAGAAAGAAACATTGATAGGATTCACCTGACAGAAGGAAGACATTGATAGGAATTACCTGACAGAAGGAAGACACTGATAGGAATTACCTGACAGAAGGAAGACATTGATAGGACTTATCTGACAGAAGGAAGACACTGATAGGAATTACCTGACAGAAGGAAGACATTGATAGGAATTACCTGACAGAAGGAAGACGTTGATAGGAATTACCTGACAGAAGGAAGACGTTGATAGGAATTACCTGACAGAAGGAAGACATTGATAGGAATTACCTGACAGAAGGAAGACATTGATAGGACTTATCTGACAGATTTCATGAATGTCTGTCTTAATCTTAATAGGTGTCAAAATGATACTTGTGGCTTGAAATCACACTGGTGTATTGCAGTCATGCTAGTGTGTTTTAATCATACATATGTATTGAAATCATACAGGTGTTTTATCCATGTATATTTTGGTAAGGAAAAAGGTGTGAGTCCCTTGATTTAAATATTTGACTTGTGTTTAACACTTTTTCATCCCAGGACTTCGTGGACCAGTTTTCCGCTACATCTTTGGCATCATGGAAAATTGGAACATTCGTTATCTGACCTTTGATCAAAATCAATACAAAATGTGAGTGTTATTGCATTCATATATATATAGATATAGATATCGCCCTAGTTTATATTAAGTATTTTTAAAAATCTATTACCAGTGGTACTGACTAAAGTTGGAGACTTTACAGTTATCTGACATCTGGATCTCAATTTATCCTGCATGTCCATTCAAAGTGTTTTGAGCGGCTTATCCGACAGGTGGTTCTCAATTTATCCTGCTCACCCAGTCAAAGTGGTATGAGCGGCATATTTCTATTGGTGTTTAGCATTCTTCATTTACCTGCTCAACAAAATGCAGATCTATTGAGCCCTTGTGCTGACATTACTGGGTTTGGGGACAGGGGTGGGGTCATTAGAGTATAGACATGCCCTAGCACTGCATATTTAAATACGGGGTGGGGAAGAGGCATAGGGGTATCGAAATGTATATATGATGGGTGGATGGGGACACATTAAGGTATTGAAATGCCCTAGCACTGTATACATGTAGGGTGGGTAGAGAGGCATTGCTGTATTAAAATGCCCTAGCACCTTATATATGCGAGTGGGGAGGCATTGTGATATTGAAATGCCTTGGCACTGCCTATAGCAATTCAGCTTCAATTTTTTCCTACAGACTGACAAAGTCAATGACTTGGGAGTCAGTTGAGGATGTTGAGAAACGGAGGAAAGATGTCGAGGAAACAGACGTCCTGGCTCCTGCATTGTACAAGACTTATTTGACCATCAGCAACGAACCGCTGGACACTTTCCTCAGACTTGATGTAAGTTAGTTGCATGTTCTTACTGGTACTTAATTTTTGAAAATAAAAAAAATATTAAAAATATTTAATTTGTCATTGCTCTAACTAATGTTTAAGACATTATTGTTGGTCTTTCCCCCCCCTCCCCTGGACAGGGCTGGACTAAAGGCGTGGTCCTCATCAATGGCTTCAACCTGGGAAGGTACTGGTTCATTGGCCCACAGAGAACTCTCTATGTTCCTGGCCCACTACTGGTGCTAGGCCAGAACGAGGTCAGTACGCAAAATGCTTGGTGATTTCTGTGATTTTATCAGAGGCAGGCAGTAAAGAGCTGTAAGGTGGGGGGGGGGGGGGTGAACTTCTCACCGCTGTTGAATTTCTGGTCTAATACCTAATAGAGTGTCACGTCTGCCTTCATCTTATTTATAAAGGGGAGCTGTTATCCTCAATCCATTGCGCTTGCATCGCAGATGAGCAAAGAAAGATCTTAAAATTTGGACCTTGCTTTGCAGGCCCACAAAGTATTTTTAGATCCTGTTTAAAAGTGTTGTCTTCCTGAGTTGCATAACTATTCTTGTTCATCATCAGTGGCCCTACAGACCATGTAGGTCCCTGGCCTGCAATTATTCTTGCTACCAAATCAAAATTAAATATTAAACTTAACCGCAAAACTACATAATATTGCTTTATGATATATTTATTTATGTTTTTTTAGTCTCACGCGTGCCTTTGGCCTCACAATTCCATTTATTTCAGATTATGATATTTGAAGAAATAAAAAGAGGGGCTGACATCTACTTCCAAGACAAGCCCTCTCTTGGATAACGTCATGCTGTGGGCTCAGATTTCCATCATTTTGGAACACCAGGCTGTGGCACATACCGATAAGCTGTTTAGTAGTTCTGATATTTAATTTGTGCTGAAAGTGTGTATCTCCAGCAGGGGTACAAGTACACTGTCAAGAATAGATGGGAATTTCAGCAAAAGTTGTGGTTTTTTTCCCAGTTCTTGCAACCTGTGCTGAAAAGTCTGGCCAATTCTTGATCATCTTGCTAAGAGATACTATTAAAATAGTTCACACAATTACTTTTTCAACTGAGACAAGTTCTCATCAGAACACATTTCATATGACCTAACATTAGGGTGTTGGATGCACCTTGAAATGAAGATTCTTTTTTGTATGTACCTCAAAATTAAGATGCTCTAAATTACTTGACAGCATGATATTTTACAAGCCCGACATCAGGATGTTGTATGCGCCTTGACATCAGGATGTTGTATGCACCTTGACATCAGGATGTTGTACATATCTTGACATCAGGGTTTTGTATGCACCTTGACATCAGGATGTTGTATGCACCTTGACATCAGGATGTTGTACATACCTTGACATTAGGGTGTTGTATACACCTTGATATCAAGATGTTGTATGCACCTTGACATCCGGATGTTGTATGCGCCTTGACATCAAGATGTTGTATGCACCTTGACATCCAGATGTTGTATGCACCTTGACATTAGGATGTTGTACATACCTTGACATCAGGGTGTTGTATGCACCTTGACATCAAGATGTTGTATGCACCATGACATCAGGATGTTGTGTGCACCTTGACATCAGGATGTTGTATAGACCTTGATATCAGGATGCTGTATGCACCTTGACACCAGGATTTTGTATGCACTTTGAAACCAGGATGTTGTGTGCACCTTGACATCCGGATGTTGTATAGACCTTGATATCAGGATGCTGTATGCACCTTGACATCCGGATGTTGTATAGACCTTGATATCAGGATGCTGTATGCACCTTGACATCCGGATGTTGTATAGACCTTGATATCAGGATGCTGTATGCGCCTTGAGACCAGGATTTTGTGTGCACCTTGACACCAGGATGTTGTCAGTTCCTGTAAGTGCCTTAACACTGGGAGGTTTGTTACCGCATGACTCAAATATTGTGAAGGTTATCTTGAGTTTTATTTTATTTTCAGTTTTACTATCATCCGCCTTGGTATTGAACAATTTTCTTTCAATTATAATGATCTTTTGTGGCCAAATTTAGCCCACCGGTGCTTTGCATCATATTTGTTGGGTTTTTTTTAAATGCTTGACATTTATCAAAACTTTAAATTGTTATTACTTGATATCTTTCCACAACACTCCCCCCCCCTCCTTTTTCCCCTCCCCACCAAATGAATTTTAAATATGGGAATGTTCTGGTGTCCTCTAGATACAAACTCTAATACAAAGCAGTGAATGTTGCAATTAACGACCTGCAGGTTTAACAAGAATATTTAAGAAAGAAGACAAAAAAAAAAGCCACACAAAAAACCCACCAAGTGGGCAAGAACTAAACTAAAGAACAAGTAGAGCAGATGGCCCAGTATGAACAAAATCATTTAAAGTGTGGAGGGCAGTAGATTTTGTTTCTAACAATATTCCATAGAACCGTGTTTTAATAAATGCATAATTGTGATCTGAATTTTTATTTTTTATTATTTTTTTCCACATGTATTTATGAATGGTTTTTAGGTCTGACCGTTGTGAAACGGTGAGACAGAAATGAAAGTTCATAATTTTTAACATCACGCCTGGAACTTCTGGTCTGAAATATTTTATGTTGACATTGGAGGGGGGACGGGACATTGGCATGGGAATTCACAATGGGTATATTTATTTATTCAACGTGTATGGGTCATTTTTGCATTACATGGTTTTTATGGAAATGATGTTTCTCTTCTATATTTCAATGGTAGGCATCTTTACTATGTAGTGTGATGATTTACTGTGGCTGTTATCTAACTTTACTATGTGGCTAGGATGTTTTAATGCTGTTTGGCTGGATATTTTAATGCTGCGTGGTTGGGATAATTTAATGCAACGTGGTTGGGATATTTTTCAATCCCACGCGGCTAGTATATTTTATTCCTATGTGGTGAGTGTATTGTATGTCACTGTTGTGCGCATGTGATACACAGGATATTTGAAGCTCATTTTGATGTATACATGCTACGTGGTTAGGATACTAAATGTTGCTTAAAAAAAGCCTACGTGTCACACTGAATCCGTCAACTTTTGCAAACTGAATGCCACATGTCAAAAAAATGGTGGCAACATGCATTTGTTGTTGGTCAGTAAATCATAAAATTGATATGATTTTTAGAAAGGAAATTAAATATTGGCAAACGTTCTTTTTCAAAAGCCTTTTCTTTCTGTATGGTTCACCCACATTCCAGGCTTTGTGATTATTACAAGCTGAGAAGTCTTCAATACAATTTTTTTTTGTGCATTTTCCTTCTACATTTAACATTTGTTGAAAGTCTTCATGTCTACAATGGATTAATTTTTTTTTCTTTTGGTCACCCTGCTTTGTTTGCTCCCATTGATTTTTTAAATAAAAATTTTGTCATATCTCCACTATAAGATTTATAGCACAAGAAGAAATTATTGACAAGAAATGACGAAGTCAGTTTAAGTTAAGTTTTTAAAATGTTTGTGTATGCGTGGGTTAACTTTGTCTTAAAGACTTACACATTTTTTGTAGCTTTTAAAGCTGTGTGAAGAAACAAACATTTTAATGAACATTCTTACAGAAGTAAGATCTCTAATCATGCCCACGTTTCTCGTCCAAAGTCCTGCCATTAGTCCCTTCACGTGTCATGTGACTGGTCTTGTCTACAGTCTTTCATTAATCCCTACATGTGTCATGTGACTGCTCTTGTCAAAAGTCTTGTTATTAATCTCTGCATGTTTCATGTGACTGATCTTGTCACAGCTGATGCATGGCTTTATTTTTAAGATGTATCAGAGTTTATACAATTTCCTGACTTTGAACAAGACTCGCGGCATGATTAGAGATCTTACTTCTGTTTAAAATAAAATATTTTGTGATCTTTTCTTATTGTGTAAATAATAATGAATATTTCTGGGGATGTATTGGTATCATTTCATGTTTTATGTCTCTATTTTGACACAAACTCATGTGTCTGTTGTTCTCAACTAAAGATTCTAAAAGTGAAATGTCCTGGTTTTATACACTTTATACATTTAATATTTTATTACAAGGCCTACCCTGTTTTTCATTTTATTACAGTTTTGTGTTGTTTTTTTCTGTGAAATTGTTCTCCACATGATATTATTATCGAAATAGTTGATTTAATCCTATGGGTTGATTTGTTTTCTAAACTGTGAAAAATTAAACACAAAATGAATTGTGTTCTTTGTTTTTGTTCTGTCCATCTCTGGTTTTGTGATCTTCCTATTGTTAAACATCGTCTGTGTGTCTTTGTCTTTATGTTACTCAGCATGTCTTTTCTTCTAACACAACTTGTCTTTTCTTCTTACACAACATGTCTTTCTTCTAACACAACTTGTCTTTTCTTCTTACACAATTTGTCTTTTCTTCTTACACAACATGTCTCTTCTTACCCAGAATGTCTTGTCTTCTTACACAGCATGTTTTTTCTTCTTACACAACATGTATTTTCTTCTTACACAACATGTCTTTTCTTCTTACCCAGGATGTCTTTTCTTCTTACACAACATGTCTTTTCTTCTTACACATGTCTTATCTTCTTACACAACATGTATTTTCTTCTTACACAACATGTCTTTTCTTCTTACCCAGAATGTCTTTTCTTCTTACACAACATGTCTTTTCTTCTTACACAGCATGTATTTTCTTCTTTCACAACATGTCTTTTCTTCTTACCCAGTATGTTTTTTCTTCTTACACAGCATGTATTTTCTTCTTTCACAACATGTCTTATCTTCTTACCTAGAATGTCTTGTCTTCTTACACAGCATGTTTTTGCTTCTTACACCACATGTCTTATCTTCTTACCTAGAATGTCTTGTCTTCTTACACAGCATGTTTTTTCTTCTTACCCAGAATGTCTTGTCTTCTTACCCAGAATGTCTTGTCTTCTTACACAGCATGTTTTTTCTTCTTACACAGCATGTATTTTCTTCTTACACAACATGTCTTTTCTTCTTAACCAGCATGTCTTTTCTTCTAACCCATCTTGTCTTTTCTTCTCACCCATCTTGTCTTTTCTTCTTACCCAGAATTTTTTATCTTCTTACACACCATGTCTTTTCTTCTCACACAACATTCCCTTCTTGTTAAGCATTCGTAGAATTCTTAAACACCATAATTTTCATGTTTGCACACCTAGTTTATGCAATGAGATCACTACAGTAGTTAATAATAAACACATTTCCATGAAACTATTTTTCATAACTTACCACTTTCCTGTAACTATTTGCAACCATTAGTTTCCATTACAAGTTCAATAGCAGCCGGTGGTGGCACAGTTTTCGGTGACGGCCAAAGCTATTGGTTGTACAATACAAATACAACGTGTACGTGCTATTGGTTGTACAATACAAATACAACGTGTACGTGCTATTGGTTGTACAATACAAATACAACTTGTACGTTCCTAGTACTCAAAAGTATAGGACCCAAAACTTTTTAAAAAATGTGATCCAAAAACCCAACAATTGTAAGACCACTATTTACAATTTCAAATAATTTTTCCAGTTTTTTCTATCGGATCCAGTGGCGTAACTTGGGATAGTGCCGCCCCCTTCCTACGCCAAAGTCGGATGCCTCCCCACATTTTTTTTTGGTCGCCCCCCTCTGTCCTTGTTTAAAGTATTCTGCCCGCTACTGATAGAAAATTGGACGATTCCAAAACTACCACGCCGTGACACATACATGGTGACCCCATAGACACCAATCATCCCATAGTAGAATAAAATCCTTTAGATGGACTTGGATAGATGTCAGTGTGCGCCCTTAGTAATTTAACCATTCGATTGCTAATTTGCTATACAACGTGATTATGGGGGGAGAGTGGGGGGGGACAGAATCTATTTATAGAATAAAGGGGTTTCCCTCAGCAACGTGCAAGGTACGTTGATATAGCCTGAAATGTTGTCTATCGATTGGCGATTGGGTCAGGCGTGGCTGACGGGTTACTTCGCTAGAGTTTTTTCCTAAAGACTTACTTACCTACCTGCCAGTAGACTCGGCTCCACACGACATACTGACAGATATCCTTATTTCAGGTTATATACCCATGGCGCAATCCTGACCCGTTACATTTTTAAAAAAAATATTATTACGGGTTGTTGTTGTTTTTTTTTTTTTTTTTTTTTTTTTTTTGTTTTTTTTTGGGGGGGGGGGGGTTCGATTGGTTTATAAGGACCCGGTACACAAATTATGGATTACTGGTAACAGACCGCCAAACAATGGTAGGAGGCAATACGTGAACTTTCCAACTGCTTTAGGTACTTGACAAAACATGCATTCAAATAACACACCTTACAGGAATCGCAATTATTTATTACATCATATAAAAATTGAAACCATTGCCGTAAAAAAAATAATTTTAAAAAAAACATTACGCACCAAATGCACTCGCGGTATTTTTAATAATCTCAACCAGCGTAGTTATCGGAAATTTTATTTTGCACATTATTGAACTGATAAAATCATACTTTATTTCTAACATAATGAATTAAATTGATTGATTTGTCTATTTTTAAAAAATCCTTTATATTAATTATTAATTAACTTCGCTTTTGTGTGTTTAGGGCTAAATCTTCTGACGGCTAATTGACCCACTACCCGTCAAACTACGGAGCTGAAACTTGGCACATTGACTCGTTGCCGATGACAACACATTCTCTAACATTTTCAGCCCCACCCTCAACCCCAAACACCAAAAATCAGATTGTTCCTTTTTTTTTTTTTAAAGTGAAACGTAAAAGAAATCTGATGTCACTGATTTAACGAAATAAAATTCCCGATAACTGTGCTAAATATTTTCTTTGGATTTTCTTTAATAGTTGGTGAAATAAATCTGCGGTGTTGAAGCGGCTGGCTCATTAGAATATTCATGTAAAATTAAAATAATTTTAAAAAATGCACATAAGATTGTTTGAGTGTGGGCTCGCGGGCCGGTACCAGTCCTTCGACCTTCACTCTACTATGCACATCCCAAAGTAAAATATTAATCCCTAGCTACTATGCACATCCCAAAGTCTAAACTATTAATCCCTAGCTACTATGCAAATCCCAAAGTCTAAACTATTAATCCCTAGCTACTATACACATCCCAAAGTCTAAACTATTAACACCTAGCTACTATGCACATTCCAAAGTCTAAACTATTAACACCTAGCTACTATGCACATCCCAAAGTCTAAACTATTAATCCCTAGCTACTATGCACATCCCAAAGTCTAAACTATTAATCCCTAGCTACTATGCACATCCCAAAGTCTAAACTATTAATCCCTAGCTACTATGCACATCCCAAAGTCTAAACTATTAACCCCTAGCTACTATGCACATCCCAAAGTCTAAACTATTAATCCCTAGCTACTATGCACATCCCAAAGTCTAAACTATTAACACTTAGCTACTATGCACATCCCAAAGTCTAAACTATTAATCCCTAGTTACTATGCACCTCCCAAAGTCTAAACTATTAACACCTAGCCACTATGCACATTCCAAAGTCTAAACTATTAAAGATACCCCCCCCCCCTTCCACACACACGTCTTCCATCCTTCTGCGATTCCTGGCTTGCCCCAAGCGGCCAGCCATCTATAAATCTACCCGTAGTGAGGTATCCTGCTTTCATCGATTTGTCTCCCTCTGGAACATTTCTATCTCTGTGACTAACCGATGCCACGGAAAAGGAAGAGGAGGGGGGGATAAATTTTAAAAAAAATGGGTGGGGGGTATCGTGACGGCTTGATCAGACCGCACGGGCTACGCGCCACATGAAGCCATCAATACTGATCAATACTGTCTAGAACTCACAGCTCAGTGGAATTACGGTGCTACCACACGGTCGCTTGTGCTCAGATGTTAGATGGTCTTATCGGATGCTATGGTGTGTTAAATGTTCAGTTAGGTTGGATTTTTTTGGGTTAAATATGCATTGTATTGAAAGTTATATGATTTAATTCCATTGGCGTGGTAATGAAATGGGCAGACAGCTGCCGGTGTTTCGCTGATCGCAATCGTAAATTTGAAGAAAACGCAAAACCATAGTGTCGTACAGATTATCCCCCCGCTCCCCAACACCACCACCCACCCCCTGACCCAGAAACGTCGTACTAACGGACGCAAGTTGACAAGCTACAAAGAGTGTGAGGGGGTATGGACATGTGGAACTTTTCATTACCAGAATGGACAGAAATAGTATGATAGACGGTCTAAACGAATTTTTAACCTAACCATAAAGGGTGACAATTCGTTTCTTGGATTTCCTGATGGTAGGATCTTTGCGTTAGTCATAGCCTTGCCACGGAGTAGGATGTAGAACCATCTGGGTGTGTTTCTTGTGTTGCTCGTGCGCGAGCTCTTAGGGGGGTGCGTCGCTTGACTCTTGCTAAATTGTCTCGTGTTCGAATGTGACGTAATAGCACGCGAGAATGTGACTGCAAAAGCTGGTGACGTATTTCTCATTTTATGTGTGCTTGATTTAACAAACTGCACTGGCGGTGGGTAAGGTAAGATTTTTTTTTATTTTTTTTTACATTCTTCTCTAAAACAAAACAATGAAATTCTTTTCGTAAAAAGGACACTTTTTTAAAAAAAAAAATATAATTTTGCAAAAGGATAATTTCAATATGTGTACAAATTTATGTAACAGATGCACTTACCTAAAAAAATATATTATATGAGTGGAAAGTTGTGCTGGGGGGGGGGGGAGGGTTGAAAAGAGCTAAATTTTGAAAAAGATATAAAGTGCTATCACTGATTTAGTAAGTAGTGTTAGAAAATTGAAGTGTTAAAAAAAAAATCATTAAAACAAAAAAAAAAAACCTCAATGGGAAAATTAGCAGTTCCAGTTGGTTTTCTCCTCTTTATAAACAGTTGTTTTTTTGTTTAACTTTCTTTTGTTAAACATAATTAACTGACTTCATCGAAAACACGATTAGCCTACTTTGGTGAGAACAAATTAACAGGTGGCTGAATTCTGTGTTTACCTGCTTAACTGTTAAATGCACAATGACCAAATTTGGCAGTTGCCAAAAAAAAAAAAAAGAAAAAAAAAAAATTCCCCCGGTTTGCAGACACGGTAGGCACCACAGCTACTTCGGATTCTACGACATGCCCGT